CTTCTAACCGGTTCGGTTGATTTGACGAACCGGTTCTACCGAATAGGTGCGAACTGGTAGGAACCCACCTCTGGATCTCCAGGATTGATTTAGGCTAGAATTGATAAGGCATAGTAGTTCAGGTGAGGAAGGTGGTTTGTGTTTATCTGCTTTTTTTTTCCCCCGTCTGTTTTTATCTTGTGGTTAGGATAACTCAACCTCCAATTCGGGGTTGTCTTCCTTGAGGTGAATGCCATATGTCTCTCTTTCCTTTACATGCGGATGCACTTGTAAGTTCATCCATTGGTAAATATACATTGTTACACTTGAGACCTTTATGATGGTGATGTTGGAATCGTTTAACAGAACAATAAAGATAAGGTTTAGTTAGATCTTCTGATGGTCATTCTCAAACTATGGCCAACAACAAGTATCTAATACTAGATGTTCATTATTATCATCAGACCTGCTTCTGTAATCAGTCTCAGTAATTCAGGAAGTAATTCTGCCCTACATTATCATTCCATTTATTGGTGTTATGATTAATTTATGATAGAACATTGAAGCCCAAAGAAAATGCTTTTACTTTCAGGAAAAGATAAATTTTCTGGCCCAAATTATTTTTGAGAGAGGAGAGGAGAGGAGACAGACAGACATAAAAGCAACCTATTACATTTCATTATATTGAAAATAAAATTATTGGATAATCCCTTTAGCATGTCATTCTGCCCTACATTATCATCTGGTTAAGTTCCAAAGTCAGTCTGCATTCTGAATGTAGAGATGTAGAACAACTAGTCGTAAAAGCTTATCTGTTTTTATGAGAATCTCAGCTTTGATAACCTGGATTTATCAAGATAATTTTAGATCACAACACCAATTATATCTGTCAAGGGGTCATATGAACAGATAGGTGATATAAACATCAGTGTTAAGTTGGGGCAGAGACCACTCTACACTGCCCTCCTCCTGATGAAACTCGTCCATAAGGTTAGCAATTGAGCTATTGTGATAACAAAGTTTTCCCATTCCTCTAAAAATAAATATCAGAATCAAACGTTCTCTCACTTGTAAATTTGGGGGGGGGGGAGTAAGTTTGAGAAACCTTGGTTTCATTATAAAAATAATCTTATTTGAAACAGTAGAAATCATTTTTGTTATAAAGAAGCGAAGGAAAAATAAATGAAAGCATATAAGCTACTATTTTTATAATACATAAAATGAATGCAAGTAATCCTTGACTTACTATCACAATTGAGCCCAACATTTCTGTTGTTGAGCGAGACATTAAGTGAATTTTGCTCCAGTTTACATTTCCTGCCACAGTTGTTAAGTGAAACATTGAAGTTGTTAAGTTAGTGACATGTTTGTTAAGTGAATCTGGCTTCCTCATTGGTTATCAGAAGGCCGCAAAAGAGAATCATGTGACCCAGGGACACTGCCGCCATCATAATAGCAATAGCAGTTAGACTTATATACCGCTTCATAGGGCTTTCAGCCCTCTCTAGGCGGTTTACAGAGTCAGCATATCGCTCTCAACAGTCTGGGTCCTCATTTCAGCCACCTCGGATGGAAGGCTGAGTCGACCTTGAGCCGGTGAGATTTGAACCACTGAACTGCAGATAAGTCAGCTGAAGTGGCCTGCAGTACTGCACCCTAACCACTGTGTCACCTCAGCTCTTAGGAGTCAGTTCGCCAAGCTTCTGCATTTTGATCACGCGCCCCCCAGGGATGGTCATAAGTCACTTTTTTTTCAGTGCCGTTGTAACTTTGAACGGTTACTAAATGAATTATGGTAAGTCGAGAACTGTTTATTCTATAACTCATTTCACTTCTACAGCGTCTGCTTTGCTTCCTGTATGAATTTTAACACAACTGGACTATTACGTGTACAGTTGCTAATGTGATTATTTTTTCTTTCACCCACCCCTCTTAGATACGTGTGGTCAGGTTTATTAGTTATCCTTGGCATATTTCTCAATGTTTACAGCAAGAATATGGATAAAATCAGATTGCCTTCACTGTGCCGTCTCTGGAATAAATCTCTGGAAGACAGAAAAACAAGGACGTTATCCCAAACAGTATAGAACTGGCTTGTGCCATGTGTTGGCATTAGACTTTTTGCTTCTCTTCTTTCCTTGCAATAGTCTGCAGCCGAATCATTTTCCAAAGGGAAGGATGTTTAAAAAAACAAAACACAACCAAAGGCATTGAAGGCGCTTTTGTCTACTAGCAGAAGACTGATGTCAGCTTGTCTGCAAAACTTTGTTTAAGCACTTGGATTCCCTTCCTGGAAGGGATTGGTTGAATGAGGTCGTTGGGACACGGAACATGGAAAAATAATAATTCTTGGGGAAGCTGCTATCGAAATTCTCTCTCCCTGAACGGAACACTTGGGAGAGTGAGTTACGTGGTTAATTTGGGCATTTTAATCGTATAAAAGGTGCTTTGGCGGTGGCTGAAATCAGTGGACCTTGTTTTATTGTTTGGAATGTGTTTATTTAAATGTAATGTCTTAATTGATACGAATCAAAACTTGATCGATAAAAAGTGAAAATTTAAACCTCCAAAGTTGAGATCATTATGCCGTTTTTTTTTCTCCTTTTTTAAAAAGAATAAAATCTATCCCAGATTGTTTTTAAAACCTTTGTTCTCATTGTTTTAGCACAGTGGATTTCTGAGAAAAAACTAGAACTCCCCATAAGGGCTTTTTATGAGACAGCAATTTTCTGTCTATGCATTTCCTATGACATAACTGATTCTTTTATGAAATTATCTTTCAACTAATGTTAACAATTTGGTCTGCACAAATGTTCTGAGCTGAAAACAGACATTTAAGTGTTCCAAGCTTGAAATAAAACTGAAGCATGCTGAGACGTCTCTCAAGATTAAGACAATGCAAAGTTGATCCAGCCTTAGAACAAAAAACTTGGCTACTTTGAATTGTCATATGACAAATATTCTGATCATAAAATAAAACCTTGAACAACCTTCTAACAAATTGTTCTGACTTCAAAATATTGAATATTCTGAGCTCAAAGCAAAATTTAAATATTTCGGTTTTGTTCTGATTGAACATTGTAATGGAATGTTTTAAGGAGGATTATTTGGTTCTGAGCTTGGGAAAAAAATACATTTCTCATTTTATTCACATCCCGACTTAATGAACAAGTATTCAGAAAAGTTTTGATTAGCCAGCAAACGTACGTCATTCCACACAACGCTGTTGCTTGCTACTTCTGCGTATTGAAATGAAAGAAAAGAAAGCTGGGGAAATAGTCGGAGAGTAGCAGATGAATTAGTTTGTACGTTTTTGATACTGTAATTAAGTTATAAATTTGATCATTCTGTGGAGTTTTCTGTAGTGTGTATTTTTTTAAAGCAAATGCTAAAATAGATTTAGATTTTATTTAGATTTTATTTATTATTTATAGGCCGCCCTTTTCCCTGAGGGGACTCAGGGCGGCTTACAATTCATGGGAAGGGGAGTGCAAGACAAAACATAAGACAATACGTGAGTGAAAAAAAACAAAACGATAAAACACAACTTTCATTCAGCATTCGGGTGGGGCAGATT